GCCTGAGCGCTCTTGACAGAGCGCTCAGGCGGCTGCAGTATTTAAAGGGCCGGCGTATAACACGCACCCACAATTTCTCCCCTATTTTCAGGGAGAAAAAGTGCGTGTTATACGCCGATAAATACTGCATCATATCCCTCGTGCTCTGAGGTGGGCCACCATTGGCTCCAGCATCTTTGTGAAACACCACGGTGCAGAGCTGAGCCCAAAGGGAGGCAAGTGAACTGCCACGGGATGCTGTCACGACACTCCTTGGTTAATATGCCCTCGTGCAGTACTCACACTCACCACTGTTTCTGTTTGGCACGGTTTCTCATTTCTCTTCATTAAGCACTTCACCTGGCCCTTGTTTAGCACCTATTTATTCTGGTTTCTCCCCTCACTCCGGGTCAGATCATTATCCTCTATCCTTTATCTTGTATCCTGTGTTTCCTGGTTCCTGTTCCCCGTGATTCTGACTCCTTGCTCCTTGTTCCTGTGTCTTGTATCCTGTATATCCTGATCCTATGTTCCTGTTCCGATGTTCTTATGGTCCTGCGTTTTCGTCTCTGACTGGTCCTCTGTCCTGTGCCTCAAGTTCCAGTGTTCGCTTGCAGTTTTCCTGCTTACACTTCATTTCCAGTGATTCTGACCTTGCTGCCTTATTTGCGTGTGACCTGCTTTGGGCTTTGCTCCTTGGTGTTTCTATATTCTGTGGTGGCTGCACGATCCTGCCTAAGGACTTTACTTTTGTCAAAGGACTATTAAGTGTACTTTGTATCCGTGTCCCACATATATTCTGTGGTGGCTGCACGATCCTGCCTTAACTATTTACTTTTTGCATTAGGCCTATTTACGTGTACTCTGCCTGCTCTCTTTGTATTTATATTGATTTCTTGTGTATATATATATATATATATATATATATTTGTGGAATTGTACATATTTTGTTATTGTATATTATATCCTTTGGCTTTCTTTAATACATATTTTCTTGATTGCTCCATTCATCGTGACCTTGTATTATTTCTCTGCTAAGTTGGTTCACACATTAAAAGGGACAGTGCTGTCGCAGGGCAGCACCCCTTCATGTCCTTATAGTGCCATAGGAAACAAAGGAAAACGTGACTGTCTTCGTGAATTGGAATCGACAGGTGCGTGTTTGAGGTCTAGACGCGTAAACCAGTCCCCTTCTTGTAGGAGGTCTCGGAAGAGGTGGATACCCTCCATCTTGAAGGGACGGTATGTAACGTGTACGTTTAGATCCCTTAAATTGATCACTAGTCTGAAGTCGCCAGTTTTCTTGCGAACGAGAAACATGTTACTGAAAAAGCCCCCTCGTCCGAGCGCGGGTTGGATTACGCCCTTTGTGCGCAAATCGCGGAGTTCCAATTCTATGAGATGAGCGTCCGTGGCGGAGAGGCACAGGGGACAGGGGGGTGGTTCTGCAAAGGGAACGTCTGAAGTTCGATGTGATAACCTTTGACAATTTTTCCCAATTCTGAAAAAAAAAAAAAAAAAGAGAAACACGGCTTGGCAGTAACGGTTAAAGTAGGCACATGTAACTGATGGTCTCTTACCTGTGGGGAATGTTGCGCGGGCACGTCCGTGACCTCCACAGCCTCTGTCCGATCCCCAGTAGTAGGGGTATCTGTGCCTGCTTCCGGGTAGAATTGTTGTGGGTGTTCCGTACGGGGACCTGATGGCCAAAATCGGCTGGTGGCACTGCTCCTTTGCCGGCCAGCCCTGGAAAAAACACCCCTGGTGGGGTTGCCTCTTAAGACCCTGCTTATGGAAATACGGGCCCTGTTTAGAGAGGTGAACACGTTTACGTGCTTGTTTAATTCCAAAAAGTTTTCCCTGTGCCTGTGGGCCTAGTTCTTTCAGACCCGCCAGTTTGGGTTCGATGCGGAAGAGTGCTGCATGGCACCGCTCAGTAGAGAGGGCTGCCGTGGTATTGCCCATAAAACAAAACTCTCTTTGGGTCCATTCTCTAATGTTGTCCACCTATTCACGCACCATATCCGCAGTGAAATAGTCTGCCCGGGCATATGTGTCATCCGCCAGGTACATTACACGGGCCAGTGGCCCCATCGCGTCCAGGAGCTTATCCTGTGCTCCCCTGAAGCTCCTTTCAACTCTTTTGCGAGGGTCACGACCTCCACGTGCCATAAATGCAAGCATAAGCTGGTCGAACTCAGGCATAAAAGCCATTTTATCTGGTAGCGATGTCCGGGGACATTCAGCCTTCATCCGCTTGCGGACATGTTTGTCCAGGGGCTTCCATATCCAAAAGTGCATAAACTTAAGGAGGTGTTCTGATGGAGCCCACTCCCTAGAGCGGGGATGTCTGCTGTTCCTGGGGTCGAACATCCTCTGACCCGTGGGGGCCATAGGTGCTGGGCGCTTATTGCGTTTGAGGGGCGCCTTACCCTTGCTAGGTCCTTTCCTGGAGCCCTCGCCCTTCCAATGGCATTTCACTGGGCATGCCCTCTATCTGGAGGAATCATCAGATTCATCTGAGTCTTCCCTGCCTTGGGAGCGTTTAGGAGCTGACTTGATATTAGCCTTCTCCAGGGATGTGGCCACCACCGCGTTAATCGTAGCTTGGAGGTCCATGGGATTCTGGGTATCTTCCATGTTAGGACTATATGTATATATATATATATATATATATATATATATATATATATACACATACACTGTTACTTTAATAACCAGGCATAGGTAGGAGAGGTATAGGGACCGGTTGGGAGGGACGTGAAACAGACCGTGGGCCGTAACTTACACACAGCCTAATGGCGTGCAGCAATTAAGCAGACTCTTATGATCACTGGGGCTCACCCAGGAAACCGGAGTTGCAAATACAGATTCCGTTCAGCAGCACTCTGGGTAGTACTCAAATGGGGGCTCAACC